GATCTTCATTTGCATAGATACTTGTCCCCTGCATCATGATCATATACAAGTCCTAGTGGCAAAATATAATTTCTGTGATTGATTGTCACGTGGTACTCAGAGTCCACGTGAATACTGGAAAGAAAAGAGTGTGCAAGAATTCCCACCTTCCCACTGGAAAGGTTTAGCATTATTTTGATGGAAATATCACATTTGCCCACAGCTCAGGTCCATCCCTCTTTCTTCCTCCATTTGTTCCCATGAAGACTGCAGCTCTAATGCTCGTGTACTCTAAAAGAATGGCAAACCATTGCTGACTGCTCATCTGGGATGGCATGAAATGGACAGGCGTGCAGCAGAAACAGCAGCCATGTATGAGACCCAGGCACAATGGAGAGGAGATTGCCTTGAGGTTTCCCTTAGTCTAAGGCTGCCCTTAGAGCCAGTCCTGCAACCCAGCAGCATGGGTGCTTTGTTGAGAACAAGTTAAAAATGGCTTACATCTGGAGGTCTTGGAGGGGATGACTCATATTCATGTCCTTCCTGCCCACTGGCATGCTGATTCATCTCAGGTTATGAACAAAACTGTGACAAACAAGATCTTTCAACAATTCACAAACAACTGCATGAGAAGCACGGGGCAGTGAGATAATGTTTCCTCAGTAAAGAGCACCAGAGCACAGGACACGCTCAGGGGATAAATAACCACACAGGGGATAACATTGGGCATAATATTCAACATCTCCTAAGCTGGATGCAATAATGCTGTGTCATTTGGAACAATGACAGCATCCTCTTGACACCTGCCCATGAGAATGACCTTGCAGAGGTCCGTGCAATATCTAGGGCACCAACCTCCTCTTTGCTCCAACTGCCCTAAGACCCAACAACACCTCCAGGACAGAAATGCTAAAATCCAAGCAGGTATTTGAAACCATCTCTTGCACTGTAAGGAAAGGCAGAGCTCATGAAGGAGTTGAGTTTGGTTGATCTGGTTGGGGCAGAGAAAGGGAGGGGTAAACATCCCCATGGAGCTTTTCAACCAATCAATAGTTGGTGCAGTGCCTCACCTCTCCTGCTTTCTGACATCCCCCTGATACTCCCATCCAAAGACCCAACTCCCACTCACCATTTCATGCTTCTCCATGAAAAATCCCTGCATGCACTATCAGCAGACTGCCCAATGTCAGGGTTAGTGCTCCTTTTAGGATAAGATTCTCTTCCTGCTAATACATGCAGGACCTGCAAAGCAGAAGAGATGATGGCATTTCTCTTGGGCTGACTCAGACAAACTGGCTGGGGCCCAGAACATCCAGGCTTTGGCACACACCTGGGAAGCTGGCCTTCAGGGCACTGGAGCTTCCATACCTTCTCTACCAGCTGCATGGCAAATAAGGCAGCTTCTGGCTCTAAGGCTGCACTTAAAACGAGGTACAGAGGGGAATCCTGCTTTTGCTTTCTAAGGCTACCACCTCATCTGCCAGAGCATTTGCTGGAAATGCCAGGACAAAGTGGAAGATTTCTACTGGCTTGATGCTGAGACCAAGGAGCCTGCCTGGTCTGAGGCGTCATTCTTTGTCTGAAGTAAGTTGTGCCACTGGGTCACACTGTGCCATGGTACTCGGCTGCAGCAGGCTACATGGGGATGCTTATTCCTTTCTTCATCTCCGCTGCTGCGTTGCCTTTGGGAACAGCTGGGGGGAAATTCAGACACCATGAAGGTTTGGGTAGCTGTGACACACACCACAGAGCTGTTCTGGGTAGTGGAACATTCATCAATTAGGAGTGTGCTGGGGAAAGAACTCAGACATGGTCCTTAGCAAGCGGGTTAGACATAAAGGAGAGGACAGAAAGAGGAAGACAAGCATTTGAGTTGCTGCCATAGCAGCATTTTGCTGCCAAGGATTGTGGACTAAAACTTTGCAGTAAGGAACATCTGCCTCAGCCTGCTGTCCTTCGCACAGGAGTTTCGAGTCTCTGGGTGTTTGGCACCTGCTGCTGAAGGCCAGAGGCTGTTGTGTAGCAAATGAGCTGGTCCTTTGAGAAACACTTATAGACTAATTCCCAGACCCCTGACCTTTATCACTGCAGACTCGCATCTCAGCCCCCTAAATTGTGAGCAACGCATGGAACAATCTGCCCATTGGCTGGCCACCTTCTTTATCTGCCCCACTTTCTAAATGCTCCCTTGATTGCAAAAGCCATTGCCAACCTAAAGGCCCACAGGAAAGTTCCTTCCCGGTATTAGCAGTAGACCCAAACAACAGCTGGCAGAACAAGGTATATAGTAAGAAATTTCCTCCTCTTCAAGAAGTGGAAAATTCAAGCATACAACAGCGTCTCTTCTTCTGCCAAAACTTAGTTCAGCAGTGGCACTGAAACAATTAGGTCAACTAGGGTGTTGGCTGAGTAACGAGTTCAATTCTACCTCCCTGCATTGAGTGATATGCTAACAGATGTCAACAGTATTAGACATGCAACCTTGCAAAACAGGGCTGCAATTGATTTTCTCTTATTAGCACATGGACATGGATGTCAGGATTTTAAAGGAATGTGTTGTACAAATCTATCTGATCACTCAGAATCTATTTACAAAAGCATACAAGGAAGGTGTATCACAGATTAGAAATGATGTGAGCACTTGGTTAGATAGTCTGTTTGATGGATGGAATTTAACTTCATGGGTGGAAGAGCTTCTAAAAAGGGGCTTATACATTTTAGTCATCATAATAGTTGTGCTAATCATGGTGCCTTGTTTTCTCCAATGCATTTGAGAAATGATCAGCAAAGCTATTAAGGGAATCTACATGGTTCAAAAAGGAGGGGGGATGTTGCAATGCAAGCCTCTCTGAGTTCCTCAGAGAGAGAAACGAATGCAGCGGTTGAATTAAAGCCTTTAGAGAAATTAATATATAATAAGCTGCATAGTCATGAAATAGAAGTGTAGATTTAAGTAAGCAGAAATGTAGGTTATAGTTTTGAGTAAGTAGAAATATATTTTAAGTGCCTTAAGAAACTGCATTAGCTAGTGAAGACCCTAAGGCCTAGTTTAAAGTTCAGTAACTTATCTCCAGACATAACAAATCATAGCAGAGCTTGGCTTGCTCTCTAGAACAGAGAGAGCTATATGTGTAAATAGATAGAACTATCCACGTAAATAGATAAACTTATAAACGTAAATATTAGTAAGAAAACAGATTGTATAGTTGCATAAATATATAATATTATATAAGTAGGTTTTTAGGTAAGAACTGACACCATTTTCATACTAATAAAGCACATTAGAATTAAGTTTAGATTGGTTTAGAAAGAATGTTTGAGAATTGTGCTTTTAGCTGACTGGATGTTTTATGAACAAAATGCCCCTCCATTGGGGTGGAGGGATGGGAACAAGGGATGGAAGGAAGAAAGAATAACAAGAAGAAAAGAAGAAAGAAGAAGAAAAGGTTGTGGTTCCTGCTGCTCAGAACATTGGACTCTATGCCAGGGAACAACTGTTGCTGCTGCTGCCGCTGTTCCTGCACAGAACCTGGGACTCTACACCAGAGAGGAGCTGTTGCAGCTGCAGCTTTGCTTGGGACACTATGCCAGAAAGTTTTTAGCACAGACTTTCATACTTGAGCATGGACTTCAATACCTTGAACTCTTTACCTTTGAGACTGATGTATTCATGCAATAAACAACTTTACTACAACTAACAACTGCTCGTATCTTTGAAGACCCCCGACCCGAGACAGCCTCGACAAGATTACTCCTGAAGTTTCTTGGAATACGAAAGGAATTAAAACACAGATCCCACCACTTGTTAACACCCTCCAACCACACAGGAGCAACAGAACCTAATTAAAAAGAACAACATCTGCTGCCTCAAGCAAGCTACTGATCAGTTCTTTGCTTCCACATGTAAGTGTTACTCCCCCCTTTAAAGGCCCCAAAGCAATACAATTAAGGCTTCTCTCCTGCCCTTAACAGGAAGGATTTCTAATCAAGCCTTAGAGGAAAAGGGGGAAAAGCATTTTTCCTTCCCCTTAAGGACTACCCCATCAGCTACAAGCAGAGCTCGGTGTAAGTGCAAGCACCAGAGCTCCCCCAGGCTGGGCAGGAAGGAGGGGGTGGAGCCCCATTTCCCCTCTACTGCCGGCAGAGCTTTGCTGTGCTGTTTTCACATAGGACCTCAGAAAGCCAAGAGGGATGCTGCCCAGCTGCTGGAACTGACATCACCACACTGAACCACTCCAGATGCTCAAAATAGCAAGGTTTTTTCTCATCTAAAAGAAATAAGTTAAAAATTCAGAAAAGCGCTTTTATGCCAACAGCGATGTCAAATTAGCTTTGACCTAAGACCTTTGAAGACTCTTATCTGCTGCTGTCATGTGAAGGCTTAAGAGTAAGCACTAAGTAAAGTTAGAATTTTTTTTTCCCCCTAAATTTCAGAAGGGCCACCTAGGCCCTTTTATTTTATTTTTTTTTTCCAGTTGATATGAAGTTTCCGTGTTCTCATTCACCAGAAAAATGCCACCTACCCTTTTCTGTTTCTAGGGCAAGAAAGGCAAGTTCATCCACAGCATCATTATCAAGGCCCATTTGTGTAGTGCTTTGGCATCCTTGCTTTCCGGTCCTGCCACATGAGCACAGCCCTACCTTACCTAGTGACATAGGGACAAGTGAGCGACTCCCAGCTCCTCAGTGCAGTCAAAATACCTGCTCTGCATCTTGGAGAGAATGGAGAGAAGGCTCCTAGAATGGAGCCTAGGTCACTACTTTTGCAAGCCACTATATTCATTAACAGAAATGCCAACACCACCCAGCACCAATCCTGCCTCAGTCTGCAGCCCAGGCCTTGACAAGGTCTCCAGTTTGTCCAAGGCAGACAGATAACATCAATCCCAGAGTAGAAGAATTCCAGAGTGAGATGAATTCAGAGCATTTGGAAAGCTTGCACAGCCACTGGGGTAATTTCTGCTTTGCAAATATAGTCTCACAGCTAAGGTCTCCAAGGGAAGGGGGACCACCAAACAAACGGGTTCGACAATCAGTTTATTGCAATCCATTGTTTCATGCATGGCTGACATCTTCCTTTGCCACAGCACAGAAACCACAAGCACCACACACAGAGCTGTCCCAGTTGCCACAGCAGCAAATCCCAGAGCCCAGGGGGCTGTAGCATGCACAGCTGCTCCCGTGGGGAGAGACACCCCAAGGAATGCTCCCAGTGAGGCACAGGGATGCCTTAGGGGCTCAGCCTTTCTGTAGAAAAGCCTTAGACCAGCCCCCTTTCCCTGCTCTGCTGCCACACTTACCAAGGCCATCCTTGGCTGTGTCCTGTCTTAGCTCATCCTGGAGGAAAATCACAGGGCCTTTGCTGGAGACATGGGAAGTACCTTCCTGAAAAGGATGCTCAGCACTCCTTTTACCCGCTACAGAGCAACGTGAAGGTTGTAGGTAAGAAGAGATAGAGCCCTGAAGGTCAGCAAACTTTCTCCAGGTCAACTTCTCAACACATGGGGAGCTCTGAAGGCACAGTTTCCATGTGAGACCACACAGAGCTAAGAGCCCATGAAGACCTCTGTCTTTTTGGCATAAGAAGAGCCCTTGGTCAGTGGAAAGGAGCAGGAAATGCTTTGTCAAGCTGTCCGTGCCTTAAGGGAATTACTCCATAGGCTACATGTCTCCTACTCCCCAGCTTGGAGACTAGGCCCTTGCTGCCCCTTTGGCTAGGGAGCAGAAGGCCAAGACACTCACTGACTCTGGAAGGACAAGCGGTGATGCAGGACTCCTTTACAGACTGGTGGCACACCAAAGCACTGCAGTGCAGGTACACCTAGAGAAAAGTGGAACACAGCCTGAAATCCCTCAGGCACTGTCTGGGGCCTGGCGATATCCTAGTGTGGCACACTGAGCCCAGGCAGCAGCTAAGCGCCCACACAGCCGCTTGCTCACTCCCCCTACTCTGCCCCAGCAGGGCAGAAAAAGAATAGGAAGAGCAATAGCATGAAAACCTGTAGCTGGAGAGATAAAGACAGTTAACTAAGTGAAGGAGAGGAGGAGAGGGAAGAAAAGGCCTAAAGCACAAGTGATGTAAAGAAAAGTCACCTACCCTGCGCCTACAGGCAGGTCAGTGCCTAGGCAGTTGGGGCATCAGCTATGCTGAAAGATCAAATCCCCCAATGTTTGCACTGCTGAGCATAAAATTGTGCAGCATGGAATATTCCTTTGGCCACTTCGAGTCAGCTCTGCTGCCTCCCAGGTTCTAGCCTGTCCCATGTCTACTCACTTGGGGTTGAGAGACAGCAGAATGAAGAGAAAGTCTTGGTGTTCTGCAAGTGCTATTCAGCAATCAGCGAGAACATCTGTTTTCACCACTGTTTCAGGGACAAATCCAAAGCCACAGCACCATCCATATGGGCTGCTAAGGGGAGAGTTAGCTCCATACCACGGGCCTGGTCCCTAAGGGGGAAGGCAAGAAGGTCTGTTCGGCTTGTTTCACATCCAGGCTGTAGCCTTGGAGCCCTCTGCTGTCCGCTCCAAGGCGGCTTCAAAACTTTTACACATACACTTGCAATCTCGGTCCAATGCGGCATTACAGCACTTCTCCCTGACACCTGCAATACTGCTGCCCGGGCACCACTTCACTGGGAACCTTGTTAAGTACAGCTGAGACCAATTTTGTGTATTAGTCAGTCCCAGGAGCACTGAGCAAACAGTACAAGGCAGGGTGAATTTCATGGGGCTTAACTGGAGGATCTCAATGGAATTCAGAGCCCAGATGCTTCAAAAGGTACTCAAAGTTTATTTCCAAGTCATTTTAGCCAAGAAATGTAGTTTAGAGAATATTGATTAGTGTAGCTAGAGCACACACCCTAAGCTAATTCACCAGCCAAACTAGCACTTGCTTAGGTAAACTACTATCCTTCTAGTAGTCACATTTTCTGTCACACTCCAAAAGTGATGCCTCTTACCTCTATCACATTCACTTCAGGGAATGAAGCTTTTGGCATCAACCTCTCCCCTTCTCTTTCAGCAGGGGATTTTCCTAGTCTTTGCTCCATTCCCCAAAAGAGGCCAAGAGACTCATAGTCAGGAAGTGCTTCTTATTGCTCACACATTTTACTTGTCTTCAGTGTGAAACTAGGCAGGCAGGACAGCTGTCAAAGTAGCACAGCTTCACCCTCTCTCTGGGGTCATAGCAGCAGCCTCGTGCTTCACAGTCTCCCTGGCTGATGGGCAGGGAGGCACAAGGCAGCCGGTCCTGGCTGGGAACAGCCGAGCAGACACTACTGCTTGGAGCATCCAGGGCTGGAAAAAACAGCAGGTCTTTGCAGATAAAGCACAAGAGCAGGGGGACAATGACATGAAAGACACTGGCTGAAGGAGTCCTGGTGATTCTGCATACACATCAAGGGAAGTGAGAGTTAGGTGAGGGTCAAACACATGGCCTGGATCTGGCATGAAAGCCTGCTCAGGAGGGACCTGCATTTCCATGGAGCAGAGACTCCCCCTGAGGCCATGTACAGGAAACTGGACTTACATTAGATCTGTTAAGATATAGTCATCTAGATCAATTCTTGGTAGTTTAGGAAATCATTGTACCTAGTCTCCGGTTCAATCCCTGAACTTGCAGGAGCTCATGTAGCCAGAATATGGCTGGGAGACACAATACACATATTCACCTGCTGACCCTGCAGAGAGGCACAAGTCCCCAGCAAGTTGGTGGCTCCTATGTCCAAACACTTGTCCATGGAGTTTTCTGCACAACAGTAAGTCCCCTTTCCTAGCCCCCAAGCTGACTATAGGAAGGTTGGAGCCTGCCTTGTTCTGTTCACAGGTCACATCTCACAGTAACCATTTTGGAAATACACCTTTCATGGGGGCACTGGCACTGTGCCAGGGTCAATCCATGACAATAAGAGACCAATACTTTCCTGGAGCCCGCTGGAGTCCCAGATATCAAAAGCCCATCGCAAAGAACCTTTTGCCCAGCAGCATCTGTTCCTTCAAGCCCAACCAGTATAAGGTAATTGTGGTCCTAGGGGAAAGCCACACCAGTCAGGACAGCCAGAGCAGCAGTAGGTACAGCCCCAGAAGAATCCCTAAGGCCACTCACCCACTCAAAGACATAACAGCCTGCATAAGATCCCACATTGCAGATTAGACCCACTGCAATCCTACCTTTCTGTAGGAAATAGGGACCTAGACAGTATTAGGGTCTGGAACAGCAGTGAGAGAATCCAGCAGCCAAGACGTCTAGACCCAGGCACAGCACTTCACCAAGTCCTTGACTACTGTGTCATATAAACAGCCCCTGATTATGCAAGATGCACAGAACTTCAGTGAAGTCCAACAGCACTTCACACCACAACGTGTTTCTTTCTTCTCAGTCCATGCACCTCTACATTTGGGCAAATGCATATGGCTAAAAATACCACTTGATATTGCCTCACCCCAAGTAGTCAGCACAAATGAAGCAATCCATTCCCTGCCCGGAGATAAGGTGAACTGTAAACTTTTTTGGCCACAAGTCAGCAAGGTAGGATCAGAAAAAACACTGACATGAACCCCCAGAAGCAAAGCCAGGGGACCAAGAAACACCCAGAAGAGCACAGCTCCTGATGCAAACCTAGACCACCCTACAACACCCATCCTGCTCTCTTGCTAGGCTCTTAGCCTAGTCCTTTTAAATTGTGGAGCCAGCTGGGACCAGAAACCCCTGAAGTGCCCAGGTGGACCCAGCCCAGCAGTTAAACACCTTCCATTGCCCTCACCTGAACTCAGCAGAGTCTGCTTGCACTCTTTGAAGGAAACCAAAGGGCAAGAGTTGAGCTTGTGTCAAGAGATGGGTCTGTATTCGTACTGTAGAGCCCCAGGAGGGTCTTCAAAGCTTCTTTCCTACCCCGAGTCCTTCCCACATTTGGGACACGTAGGAAATCTGCTTGCTTCTCCCCATGCACCCCATTCCTGCTCTAATTGCTCATTACATGCCATGAGTGCAAGAAACAGTGACAACGCTCTTTTACTCTTTTAAAGATTAGAGGGGTTCAAATGCCATCCACAGGGGGCTGACATAAAAGCACAGAAAGAGCCCTCCAGATAAAATCTGTGAGAAATCATGGAGCTCAGAAGGCTTTGCACACCTAAACAGTGGAGATTCCCCATAAGCACTCTTGGCTGTGGACTTACAGCCCTGTTTGCAGTGTGTTTGTGGGGATAGCTGCAGGACTGGCTCAGGCCTGGCTGCTAAGTGGAGGGATGGTGTGCTCTCTGGGACCCCTTCCCTCAAAAACTGGCAGGTGGGCCCCAGAGCTGGGCTTGAAACACAGGCAAGGGGAGCCTCTGTGATCCCAGAGAAATCTCTGCCTGCCAGCAACAATTACCTGCCTGTAAGTGCAAGGCGTCATGGAGAGTTTTCTCCCCAGCCACACATCAGGCAGCCACACCAAGCGAATGCCTCGTTGTCCATCTTTCCATGCATGTTTCTGCATTCATGCCATGGAACTGTGAATGCCCTCAGCAGACCCTCCAGCTCCTGGATGTCTGCACAGCACTGTACAGCACCAGTTCCCTGGCCCCAGCCATCCCTCATCACAGGCATGGTGGGTGGGCAGCAGCTGAGTCTGAGGGAGGCATTTCCTTTTGCTCTTCCCCCTCAGCCCACAGCCCACCTTTGCTGCACAGCTGTACAAGGTGCCATGATCCCAGCTGGTCAAGAAGGTCACTGTGCCTACCTCTGCTAATTTCATGCACCAACCAGCAGGGCTGCTCCACAAAGTGTAAGACCTTGTCAGCAGCTCTGCACAACAGGAGATGGAGACAATGGATCTTGGCAGGCTGCCTGCCTGGCTGAGGCTTGAGCAGCCCTCATGAACCAACTGCTCCCCACAGAGCCTGCCCAGGCACCGGGCAGCAACAGAGGAGAGACACCCAGGGAAAACATTTGGACTTTGCCAGGGAGGCAGGCTCCATCTCTTTAGAAGCTGAGCACTGTGCATGCCCAAATCACATCATCACTGAATGACTGCCAAATGCTCCCTTTGACTGCATTACCTGCTGATAATTGGGTAAAAACCAATAAAGTACTTCGGAACTATAGGGAAGTACTTTGATTATACTTTAACCCATCAATACTTTACTTCTGCTGACAGAAAAAATATCTACATGGCCCTGAAGAATAATTGTACATGAAAGAACCCCAGAAGTGCTGTAGATCTGCCAAGGAGTACCTGTGCTGAGAATGTTTTCAGGTAACTGCCCTTTCCTACTTCCTACACAGACACCAAATAGCTGTGGTTGATCATGTAGGGATGGGAGGTTCTTCAGATGAGCCTGAAATTCAGGGAAATTAAATGCTTTGCTAGAAAGAAGTTGTTATGGAAAGTGGAAAGCAGAAAGCAGCCTAGCTGATATGAAGCAAGCAGGTCTCTCTTCCTCAGAAATCTTTTCCTCACCCTTTTGACAGTTCTCATACATTACAGTGACCCAGCTCTAAGCACCAGTTTAGATGGCAGCCAAGACCAGCACAGACAGGAAGGACATGCAGAGGATGAAGGAAGGTGAAGAAAACCTCTCTGTGGACCACTAGTCTGATCAATGAGTGTCATGGGAAAAAAGGGAACTTTGTAGACAAGGAGGTAAGGTCATGAACGCTGCTAGGTGGCAGCTACCTCATGTGGAAGTGCAAACTCTCATGAACTTCACTTTCATTAGATGAAAGTCCGTGAATCTACATGAACTTCCATGAACTGCCCTGACAGTATCTGAGCTGATGCAGAAATGTGGCCAGCATTCTAGCCAAAAGTTGTTGGCAATTTGATTTTTCCACCAAAGTATTGAGTATGGCTCTTGAAGAAGTAAAATAAATTTAGAGTGAACAACTAGAAAATTATTGCACCCATGCAAGCGAACGAGGATGACTTAGAACTCCCTTCTGTAGGGAAGGTTCAAAAACTTTTGCAAGGGCTAGAGATCTTCACTAGCTCCTCTGAGTGAAAGGGAAGCTCACATTAACACGTTGCTGTGCAGCAAACAGAGCTTGCCCCAAGGAAGCACTCAGTTCACCCAGCTCTCTTGCTATTTCACACCAAGTCCCACATCCCCTATCCTTGCAACACCTTCTAATCAGTTTTGCCTGCAAACATGTCACAGTTTGGGAGAGACAGAGGGTTAAGGCCAGACTGAACAAACTGAGCACAGCCCTGAGGGCTGGTTCTACCAGCCCTTGCCACTGCCTTGGGATCCCCCCATACACAGGCCCTGTGCAATTTGGGCAGGAAGCCTCCAGCTCTTTTTTAAGCCCTTGCAACACACCAGACATGCTCTGCTGTCTCCCAGAGCACCTAGGGAACTACCAGGGCACCTAGGGAACTCCTCACAGTGGAGTCATACTTCAATGAAACAAGAACGTGTGTGTGCCAGCTTCCAGCAGTAGGTTGGATGAGCTGCTTTGGTAAGTGCAAGGACTAGTTGCCAGGTTGCAATGGCTTATACCCAGCCTCAGACAAGTGCATCTCTGTCCCAGCTGGGGAAGCCATTTCCCAGAGACTCTCTCAAGTTCTGGGTTTCTCTCTTCTCTGTGTTTTTCTCCTTTTTTTCTCTAGGAGCCCTTGAAGAGGTCAATCTCAATGTCTCATCCCCTTTTCTGACATCTTCATTTTGTCTCAGCCAGCAAGTCCTTTCTTGTCTATTGTCATGTCTGGAGACCTTTCTAGCCTTGCTAGACAAATATTTTATACTCTCCTCTCTTGTGAGGGCAGACACCACTAGGGAGAGAGACTGAGGCTATTGCTGTGCAATTGCTGAGGAAAACACAGTTGCATGTGCATTGGCAAAGCACATGCAGTGTGAACTTTACTGATTACCTCTGAAGATTTCAGGAACAATGAAGGATGGCTCACACCACTGAGGGCTTCCACAGTCAATAGGGAAGAACAGAAAACCAAATGTCACTGAAGTATTTGGAAGATGCTCTTGTGACAGTGAATATCTGTGAGTGCTTCAGTAGGACAGTGTGCCCCAACCATGATTTCTTTAACAATTAGCATTATGTAAAACAAAATAGATTTTGTGAGCATATTACAGATATTTCAGATTTCCTAATCTCTGCCGGTTGGCATCTTCAGTTGTTTGAGATAATCTGGAGACCTTTCTAGCCTTGCTAGATTGATATTTTATACTCTCCTCTCTTGAGAGGGCAGACACCACTAGGGAGAGAGACTGAGGCTATTGCTGTGCAATTGCGAGGAAAACACAGTTGCGTGTCTACTGGCAAAGCACATGCAGCGTGAACTTTACTGATTACCTCTGAAGATTTCAGGAACAATGAAGGATGGCTCACACCACTGAGGGCTTCCACAATCAATAGTGAAGAACAGAAAACCCAAATGTCACTGAAGTACTTGGAAGATGCTCTTGTGACAGTGAATATCTGTGAGTGCTGCAGTGTGCCCCAACCATGATTTCATTAACAATTAACACCAGGAATAACAAAATAGATTTTGTGAGGACATTACAGATTTCCTAATCTCTGCTGGTTGGCATCTTCAGTTGTTTGAGATAAGGTATTTCTCCAATGAATAATTAATATCAATGAAATATTTGTTTAATAACACAGGGCAATCTAGCAAATGATTGACTAGTAAACATTGACTGACTCAGCCATGTGACCCAGAAACTGGGTCAGCTAACACAGACCTTCAGTATATAAACTCATATTCTGACAGCCAGAGTCACTCCCCCTGAGCCACAGATGAAAATGGAGCTCCTGGGAGGAGCCACTGTTGTCCTCCTGGTTTGCATTGCTTGCCTGCTCTCCTTTGCAGCATGGAAAGGAAGGTCTGGGAAGGGGAAGATGCCTCCAGGACCAGCTCCCCTGCCCATTCTAGGTAACCTGTTGCAGGTGAAACCAAGTAACTTGGCCAAAACCCTCCAGAAGGTAAGGCCACTTCTTCTTCTCTCTTTCTGCTGTGGGTGAGAAATGTGTGGCACCTGTGCATGGGGTCAGCCTGTGGCTATGGCTCAATGACTTGCAATTCGAGAGGAGCAGAAAAGGCATGGGCATTGCAGCTGCTTCCCCTCATTGCTGTTGCCATGTTGTTCAGGGCCTGATAAGTGGGACCCATCTGCACAGCCACATTTAGCATGAGAGAACCAAATCTTGATGTTACCGACGTGTGAGGCTAACCGCCTGCTGTGGGAGGCAGCAGAATAGAGACTTTCCCATTCTTCCTCACTGTTTGCTCCATGGCCATGCTCTCTCTTGCATTTTTACAGCTCAGTGAAGAGTATGGACCAGTGTTCACAGTGCACATGGGCTCTGACCCAGTGGTGGTGCTGCACGGATACGATGTGGTGAAAGAAGCCTTGATTGATCGTGCAGACGAGTTTGCTTCCAGGGGACACATGGCAATTGGAGACAGGGCTAACAATGGATTAGGTATGTTTGCTGACTGAGCTCCTTCTGAAGGAGAAGGGAAGGGCTGAAGATGTGTTCAGCAGATCAGAGCTGGAGTGTACCTTGCATGAGGGAAAATGCCAGGGGTGCGTGCAACCCACCTGGAGAGGGGAAGCCAGAGAAGGCTACAGCCACTCAAAGGGTGGAGGTGGCAGAGAAGGGGAGCCAGATTGCCCTCAAAAATAGGCAGGGAAATGGCAAGGGGCAACAGCCAGCTGCTGCAGCAAGGGAAATTGTGTATGGGTGAGTGATGAATTATTCACAAGGATGTTGGGCATGTAGCAGAGAAGGCCAAAAGCAGGCAGTTGGACTACAGAACCTCCAAACCACACTGTGATGCTGCCATGTCAGTGCTCTCCAGGGACAGGATTCACTGTCACCATGAGCCACTGTTCATCTCCCACCCAGCATGCCCAAGACAGGTCATTCCTCTTCCTTTCCCCTGTAGGGATTATTTTCAGCAACAATGAGCCATGGTTGCAAGTCCGGCGGTTTTCTCTCACCACTCTGCGGAACTTTGGAATGGGGAAGAGGAGCATTGAAGAGAGGATACAGGAGGAATCTGACTACTTGCTGGAAGAGATCCACAAAACAAAGGGTACAGTCCATTTTCAATATATTTTATGTTTGAAACAAAAGAGGCTGTATTAAGGGAGTTCACATCTTTAGCAAGGAATGAAGTTCCTGTGGATTTGGTCCATGCACCACTACCCCTCATTACGAAGCCGAAATAATTTTGTGACCATGTCCTGCTCTGTATCACTCAGAGACTGATCTGATATTTCCACTAACAACCAGAGTTCAGATTACCCATAGTAGCCATAAGTAGACATACAATATTTCATGGAGTTTTTTAAAATAATCTTAACATTTCTGAAATCACAGGAACAGCTTTTGACCCAACCTTCATGCTGAGCTGTTCTGTCTCCAATGTCATATGCTCCATTGTCTTTGGGAGACGATATGACTATAAAGACAAGAAGTTCCTGGCTCTGATGGACAACATGAACAACATCTTTGAGATGATGAACTCCAGCTGGGGACAGGTACATTCAGTAGGCATTTCACAGTGGCAACTTTCTCCCAGGGGAGCAGGAGGCCTCCTTCCCAATCAAGTTCCATTTCAGTCCTCTAATTAGGACCCCATCAATGCTCTGCTGCACTGAAGGCATTTCATTCAAGGGCAAGAAACTCCCTCACCAAAGCTGGAATTGGCTTTGCCAGCTAAGTGCCCTAGTTCTCAATAATCCTGAACACCTTTCTTCTCCACTTCTAAGGTTCCTACTATTACTACTAGTAAGCAATTCCTGCCAGACTGCCCAGACTGATATTCCTTCTGCTTGGCTCAGTTGATAGGGTGGTGTCTTTCCTGGGCATTTGGGTGATATCAAAGGATGGGGCAAATATCGTACTAGGGACCTTCCTGTTTCTTTCCTTCCAGCTCTACCAGATGTTCTCAAATATTATGGATTACCTGCCTGGCCCACACAACAATATATTTGCAGAATTTGATGCTCTAAAAGCCTTTGTAGCAGAGGAGGTGAAGTTGCACCAAGCCTCCCTAGATCCCAACTCCCCTCAGGATTTCATCGACTGCTTCCTCAGCAAAATGCAGGAGGTAAGGAGACAGATGGCCCCAGCTTGCTCCCAAACACACCTATGCTGTGTCCTTCAATCTCATAAATAACACAGACATGGGGATGACCCCTTTCCAGTCAGCTGTGCAATGGGAAAACAGCAACAATACCCCAGATACTGCCTGTATTAGAGCTTATAGCTCTGGGTCCGCGTGCTCTGCACAGCCACCACTATGTGCAGCTGTTGGGAGAGGGGGAGCTTGCTCTGCTTTCACCAAAACACAGGGACTTTTTCAGTCTGGTCTTGCAGTTCTTTCATTGGAAAGCAATTGGAACAGCAGACAAGCAGTGGTGTGTCATCGAGTGCACAGCTTAAAAGGAGGTTGGCATTGAGCTTACTGTTCAAGGCTGCATTGCAATGCCCCAGATGGCAGCTGCATTAGCAGAGAAATGCCACAGCTCGAGGAGAAAAGAAAGGTTTGGGATGACATGAGAAGGGGCCACTTCTCTCAGCTCAGCCAGAGGAAAAACAAAGCCTTTTCTTTAGGAGCCTTTTGCTTTCCTTAGGAGAAAGATCGTCCCAATTCCAGTTTCCACATGAAGAACATGGTCACAAGTGCTTTCGACTTGTTCATTGCTGGAACTGAGACAACAAGCGTCACCCTGCGATTTGGGCTTCTGCTTCTTATCAAATATCCAAAGATACAAGGTACCAATTTGTGGCCTCCTCTTCTCTAGCTCTTCCCCTGGGCTGGGCACATGACTAATACCAGATGCTCCACCCAGATTTTCCCCTCATCTCTGCCTCCCTCTCTCTGGGACCTGACTGGGTCCACATCTTTATTTAGCCAAATCAATAGGAGAACTTCCTTTGCATGGGCAGCAGTGGAGCTGTATTCCAGTCAACATCAAAACCAACTTAATGATTCTGCCATCTGTGATTTGTAAACAGCTCAGGGCAACCTATTTTGACTGCTTTGCTTTCATTTACTCATTTGGTGGTTTGTGCCTCTCATGACAGAGAAAATTCAAGAAGAGATTGACCAGGTAGTAGGGCGATCAAGAAAACCCTGTGTGGCTGACCGGACCCAGATGCCCTACACAGATGCCGTGGTCCATGAAATCCAGCGCTTCATCAGTCTTGTCCCCCTCGGTGTCCCTCACACTGTGACCAAAGACACCAACTTCAGAGACTACGTCATTCCTAAGGTTAGCTCCCTCAAGTACAGCAGTTCTTGGACTGTCAGTTACAAGCCACAAGGTAGAACTGTTGTGGCCTGACCTTGTTTTCACCCCATCCTTGGTGAGGCTTTTATCCTCAGGCAGCTGTAGCTGACTTGCACTCTCTTGTTGATGCTCCATGGGCCAAGACTAAAACAGTAGCTCTGAGCAACACTTTTGTTCCCTTGCTCTGCAGCTTTAAGATTTGCAGAAGCACAGAGGGTTCACCAACACCCAGAGCAGAGATTCTTCACACAATAGGCAGCAAAGCTGAGGAGCAGCTCACCACCATCCAGGACAGCCTGTGCACATGCTTGGGAGCAAAGTCAGTTGCTGGTTATTGAGCACAGAAAGACTCTGAGCCACAAAATGCTGTAGGTGATGTTTGCATTGAATGCAACCAGCCAAACCTGTTGGCTCTGCTCTAGCACACTTCCTGAGGCAGTCTCTGCTGGCCACTGCCAGAGGCAGGCTGGTGGGCCAGAGCAGCGCATGGCTTGGCCTGGCCTGCTGCAGCAGTGCTCGTTGCTCTTCTGGGTGACTGCGGGCAGCTGGGAAACAGCAGTACATGGGCTGCTGGTGGTGTGATTTCCAGCTCTCTGTGTAAAATCATAAGGCAGGACCCAGAGAACTGCTCAGCTACCAGCAGAGAACTCTGGTGTCATTGCTGCTGAATACTCCAGCCCCTGTTAATGGCTGGCCAGGAAGTGGGAAGGTAGAGGATTGTGGCAGGAGAAATTTGTGAGGACAGGGGAATTGCACAGGAGCTTGTTTTCCACAACCTTGTGTGCTTTGGATATTTTGGACTCACAGAAAAGAAAGGACATGATGCATCCACAAGGTCATTATTGTGAAACACCAAGAAAGAGAAGAATTAGGTGGGGTGTCCCATTATAACCAGAGCAGGGTGAGGAAGAATGCTCTGGAGATGAGAGGGAGAATTCAGGAAGAGCAGCCAACAACTGCTGTGACATTCAGTAGAGTCTCCCTAAAGCTGCCTCCTCTAAAGAAGGGCCCCCAAAGGGAAACCAAAGGCACTGGTAGGGTTATACAGGGAAGCACAGTCTCAACTTGGCAGGCAATCAGATTGAGTGACCTCATTTGCCTGCCTCTCATGTTCTGCTCTTCTTGTGTTACTTCAGGGCACCACGATTTACCCTGTCCTCGCTTCTGTCCTCTCCTCTACTGCCGCCATCTTCAGTGGTATCTCCTGTCACCCTGTCCTCGCTTCTGTCCTCTACGACAGTAAAGAGTTTCCAAACCCACATGAGTTCAATCCTGAACATTTCTTGAATAAGGATGGCAGCTTTAGGAAGAGCAACTACTTCATGCCCTTCTCAGCAGGTAAAGCACACGTTTGCTCTTTTCCTCTCTCTGTCAGCCTCCCACCTCTGGTGACCACCCTGCCCTTCCCTGCAGCACGCAACTGCCTCTTCCCAGCACAGTCCCACAGGTGTTTCCTTGGGGTTTACTGCTCTCTGGATAACTCCTCTCTACTGCCCCCATCTTCAGTGGCATCTCCCATCTTCTTCAGGCCTGATGGCTTCTCAAATCTCCTGCTAGGAGTTGCCAATGTAATGACGTGAATGGGGTCCACTGGCACTAAAATCCCTGTCGCCTTCCCACACAACCACCCAGGTTGTCCTGAACAAATCTTTTTGTGACAGCTCCACTTTTTCCCCAGCACATTTAAGTACCTCTTAGGCTACATGCAACCATTCACCTATCAATAGGCCCAACCTTCCTCTTCCTCACCTGTGCTTTATGTCACCCTGCTCTCTCTCGTCTTGAATCCTGTCATGTTTCCTCCTCAGTTAAGTCTTCTCCTGCTCCTGCCCTTCACACATCCATCCAAACTGTCAGGGGTCTTTTGCCAACAAATTCTTCTCTTGAAAATGCCCTTGGTAACCCTGACAGTTGTCTCACTGCTATGGCTGTGTGTAGTAAACAAAGCTGTGCAACACAGCTGCTGAGCACAAACTCTGCTCTACTTAGAAACTCCCACTGAGTTTTATTTGCTGCTTTCACTTCCAGGAAAACGAATTTGCCCAGGAGAGGGCCTGGCACGAATGGAGATATTCTTACTCATAGCCACCATCTTGCAGAACTTTACTTTGAAGTCTGTTGTCAACCCCCAGGAGCTCAGCACTACCCCAATTCTGAGTGGGATAGGCAATGTACCTCCTGACTTCCAGCTCTGTGCTTTCCCCCGCTGAAAAGCACTGAACCACTCTCCACTGGCCTGAAACTGGCCATTGCTTTACATGTTCTTTACTACAATCAACAGCAGGAGCATTGGCCCACCTTTCCCAGGCCTTCAGGAAGGCAGTCCAAATTCAGGCACAAAGGAGAGACCTCTGAAGCCTCCAGACCTCCACCAAACCGCAGGAGGCCCTGGGTGACATTGCAGCCTCTGGCACTGATGCTCTGTCCCCGGATCACTGAGGACAGTGGCTGCATCAAACAGCCACTACCCAAACAACAGCTGGCAGAACAAGGTATATAGTAAGAAATTTCCTCCTCTTCAAGAAGTGGAAAATTCAAGCATACAACAGAATGTACAGCTGAATCCATTTTCTTTAATGAATGCCAAGATTTGTTCTGGACACAGATACATTTGTGATTGTCCCCACACCCCCGTCTTCTCCCCCTCTAAAAAGTATTTTAGTCAGTGAAATGTAAAACCACACAAAGACCGGAATACATACTCACACATCAGAGGGTTTGATATTATTTTTCTTAAGAAAGTTTCACTCATTTAGAATTATTGACTGTAAAGTCCAGTCAGTACAGCAGAAATATTCTACATAGATCATTTGTTGGAATGCACAGTACAATATTTGTGAACTCATTGTCACAAAAGACACCTGGATGAACACAAACAAGTGTCATAGATCTGTCAAACCGCATTGTAAGCATCTGCATCAAACCAACCTGGGGTGTATGGGAAATTACCAGAACATGGAAACAAGATTTTAAAGTACATGGGAACCTGCTACATTCACTTTTCTTTAGAGTCACTGCTACCACTAAAAGGTCAGGAAACTTGAACTGCTGTTTGTCACCTGAAACTTTGCTTCTGTTTCACAGGGGTTGATGTTACACTTTAATTTCCAGACCTGAGTTACTGTAATTTTGCTTGAACTGGAGCAAAGAAGAGATGGATAAACGCACACCCCATCTAGTAGAGTTCACTTCCCCCAACTGCATGGTCAGATCAGAGGTCTTGCCTGTAAAAAGGCCACAAAATTTAAACAAATAAACAAAACAGAGCTAAAATAAAGCAAACGAAAAACCCCAAACCAAAATAGAGATAACATGATTTTATACAGCTTGCAATAAAGCTATAGTCAATGGTACAGTATTTTTCACATTACACTTTTTAAGGCTTTGACTACTGGTCCTCTACATGCACATTTTATATACATATAATCCTCTCTGTGTATGCATAAATTACTTTACTTTTCTTGATCTAAGAAAGAAAATATTTTCATGCATTTGCTTCTCCTAGTATTCACAATACTTGGCCTATATTCTAGTCAAGGATTTCTGGAGAGGGCTGGGTCTATTTATTATCCATCTGAAATACCCTTATCTCCAGGAATGTTGTTTGTGCCAGACAGTGGCACTGGCCCCACACTTCTCCAGTCATACACAAGAGAGGAGGTTCCACTCCAAAGCCTGACAGCACAATGGTTATGTAAACATAGTAATCCTTGGATTATAAATACTTTATTAAAGCTAACATACCTCAGCTTTTAGCTCATAATTGCCCATGAGTGCCTTAATGAAACATTCAAAATGAAGTATTTTTTTCCTCCCATGTCAACTGCTCAGTTACAGTGCTTCCCCCAAAACACACTCTTCCTTTTTTTGTTTCTGAAAGAAGCACCAAGCTACCTGTTAATTCTTCAAGCCTGTGGCTGTGTAGTTCTCACAGGCAAACAAGAACATGTCTGAGCCTCATAGCTCTAAGTGCTCTAAGTCAAAGTTACCATCTCACTTACATCCTTGCCGTGAAGGTAAGAGACTGGGCCATGCACCAGTGACAAATGGGGAGGAAGCAGAAACCAGAACTCCTCCATTCCTAGCCCCATGCCCGCAGCTTGCAAGTTTGACACATTCCCAGAGACCACCAAAGCTGATCTGTAGCGTGGTCTGTGTCCCTCTGCCTCAAAGGACATCCTGACTTCCCCTGCCCCAGCGATTCCTTCAGCAAGATGTTCTGGCCAACTGAAGTTGCAGAGCACTCCCAGGTTGTGGTAGGGAGCCCTGGGGAGAGCAGCTCTGCTGTGAAAAGGAAGGGCTCACAGGGAAGTGGTAGTATGGAAAGGAATCAGTGTAAAGAAGGCTGAGAAAGCAGGCATGGGCGGAGTGAGAAGGAGAGATTCCTTATTTAAAACAGGGCCTGGACTGCTGCCACAGCCCTCTGAGCTGCCTCGCACAGTGGTGTAACCAGAGCATGCTGTCAACACTCCTGTTACTAAGCTTTGCCACCATCACAGAGCTTTGCCTTGCATCCCACCACAACATTTCCGTGTCAGCCACCACCCTTGCCTTGGGCACTGCAATGAAGTACTTCCATTCAACATATACCATGAGAATTACCACACACCAAATACTGGGTCGTCCTCATTCCCTGGAATCCAAGTAGCTAGAAGAGACTGTCCCTGTCCCCTGCCTTGCTCTCCACTCAACAAGAAGCAAGACAATAATAGAGAGGACAGAAAGAGTGATGCAGGCACAGCCATCTGGTTGTTCTCTTATTGCACAGAGTAGTTGGGACAGGTAGGGGAGAGTACGTGGCTCACAAAGTCCTTTGAAAAAATCCTACTGGATGTCTGTCCAAAACACTAGCTCCAGAAAATACATTCAGATAGCTCATGTGGATGCTTGGGAAATGTCACCTAGAAACAAGATATGCAAGAGACGAAGGCTATTTTCAATTCAAGTTCAGTCTTCATTCAGCCCCATGGCAAGTTGTGCAAAATACAATGTTTATGCCCTGGCAGGTGTGATTAAAAGACAATTTTTTGGTCCTGGGTAGGTTAACAAGAAAGGGTCATGCTAATAATTGCAGAGGCAAACGTTTGAGACTGGATTTAGTTTTAGTCACAGAAAATAATGTACACTGCTTTTGGCCAAGTGCACAGAAGCTTTAAAAAAAAAAAAAAGACAAGGATCACAGTTAAATGTCTCAATCTTCAGATGGGGAATATCTGTGAGGAGCAGTCAAACTATTTTCTCATGTGCAATGCATCCTGAAATTTAGTACTTATGTATTGGGCATGAAATCCTTTCTTGTTGATGGTGTCATCTGTATGGAATCGAATCATAATGGAATCCCCTGCAGAGTAGATTTCTTCCAGAGGCTGCAGAAAAGGAAAGAAGACAGTACACAGAGGTCATATATGGAGACTAAATAACTGTCTGCACCATGACACTAGAGTTTAAGCCCAGAGTGAAGACAGACTGGCCAGTAAACATGAAGACTTGAATGCTCAGTATCTCCTGCCCTGATCTGCTTTCCTAAGCACATTCCTAAGCTCTTTATGTTGGAAGACTGAGGTCAGTCCACTCTACAACCCCAGCCCTTCCAGCCGCCTTCTTCACAGGCCTTGCTGAATATTCTCATTCCAGTCTTCAGGTTTATTCTAATTTGTCATTGTCTTTTCAGGAGAAAACTGGAACCTGTTTGGTAGCTGAGGCTCTCCCAGAGTTCAAATAACTCAGGTACTTATCTTACATGACAGTTCTGGTTATGTCCCACACTGTTGTGACCTGCTGCAATCCCCTTGTGCTTCCCTTTCCCAGCCATTCTTCATTCATCAGTGTGCAGGTAGGTAGATTACTACCCAGCTGCCCTGAGCTTCTTCACACCAAGCTGCTCTGCCTTTGTTTGCCTTGGTTTCCAGACCATTTCCTCAGTTTGTGAGGACTTCTTCCACACACCTGGTCCCTGATTGTCTCTCTTTAAATTCAATAAGAAACATCTCCATTTAATTGCTGAAGGCCTAGAGAAATCAAACACAGACCCTCTGATTTCAAAAACCACACGCCATTACTCATGTTAGAATCACTCCTGGTAACAGGGATGCAGGTGACAGTTTAGGAGACAGCATGTCATCCTAAAGGCAGCAAGCATCACACAGCTCTAAGGCCCTCCACTGCTCACCCTTGCCATAGCATGGCCACAATAACTTGTCTTGAGCCACAAAACAGCACAGGATGAAACTGCCCTTTGGAAGCCATTTCCCACATTTACACAACACTGACGGCAGGGCTGGGGCACAGCAGCATGGCAGTCTCACGCTACTGTACATGGCCCTGGGCTAAAACAGTCAGTCAGCAAGAATTTTCCAGCCAACACTGTGTAACAGAAAATGGCTGTGATCTCCTGAGGAAGGGAAAGAAGCAAAACCCACAAAGCATTCTCAGTACCAGTTGACAGCTGCCACTATCCAAACACGGTATGAGGATACTTCCTTGCCCCTCTGAGCGATCCCCCTGAAATCACCGCTGTCATGGCTTACCCCCGAGCCACAGAAGCGTCCTAGACGGGGTGCAGTGCTGTCGTAACCATCGTAAATCTCCATGTAGTCGTACCCACAGTCAGCCTCCTCCTCTATCTCGAATATCTGGAATATTAGCTCCACCCCATAACCATCTTCAGCTACAATCACCCATTCACAGTTGGCTTGACCTGGGTAGTTGTTGTCCCCAAACTGAGCATGGGAATACAGATCCTTAGCTTGTACTTCAGCCTTTAAAAGCCCACCACACTCTGAAGGGAGAAAAGGACACAAAACAGTCTCTCAAAGTTTTACTCACAACAAAGACTCATCCCACTTTTGGGTCAGACATGAGCAGAGAAGACCTCCAGTTTGAAGTGCAATAGGAAAGTAATTAAACACTGCACCAAACTACAATAAAATGCTGAATTCTACAGTCACCCATGAATTCAAAGGCCCACAGAGCTTAGAGGAACTTGGTTTTTTTGGTACAGAACACATATGGAAAGAGGTGATCAGTTTAGACTGGCAGGATAGGGTTCTTGACACATACACTGGGAAATTTTATTGTATTGGAAAGCAACCGCTTTGCTCTTTGCATTTGCCCTGTAGATAAAATTCTGACCCCAAGTATATTGTCAGCAGGAAGCAGAAGCACATCAGAAAACTGGTGACCAAAACAATCCTTTCCTACCCACACAATGCACAAAAGTAGCCCTGTGTTTGTGCAGAACTTGCATGCTTTAGCAGAGTTTTCCTGCAGCCAATGAGGAAGATGCTTCTTCACCAGTGTCAGGTGCACGGCTACTTTGAGCATGTTTCATCTATTTACAGTGACAGGGATTTCAAACAAATGAATGTTGGCAAAACATACCCACCTCTGGGCTGCACAGATAGGAGGATCAAGTTGTGCCTGTCCACAGCACAGCTCTGCTTCTACCACAATCAATCT